ATATAGAAGGAATCATACATACTTCAACTCAAACTCAAACATAGTGGAACGCGTGTGTTAGCCACGCGCTTGTGTACACGGTAACGTCCTTGGGCCCAGGTAGAAAAAACAATTATGGCCCATTATTCTAAAGCCCCAGGTAGAAAAAACAATTATGGCCCATTAACTATTATTTAAGATGTAACTAGGTAGATAGTCCGCACGTGCGGGTATGAAAAGTTTTCGTAATATAAAACTACTATATATTTAAAAATTTTATTAGAATTTGAATATAAGCTATATCATCGATTTTAAGTAATTTAAATCCATAAATTTATTTGATCGATCTACGACATTTAGATGTCTAAGATGTATGAGGATTAAATAAAATTTATGAGTTCATTTGAAACTTTAAAAGTAGTCTATAAAAAAAATTAATGTATTTTCTACGAATTCAAATTTTGGTTGAGGCATGGTTGCTTCGAATTTCGAATATATACACGATTGAAGAGTATTAGAACATTTGGCGATTATGTGCCTATAAATTTCCGATTTTAACAATGGAATTTTGTATTAAAATTAATAACAATGGAATTTAGTATTGAACGATTTTAGGTAGATAAATATCTTAGAAAATAATTTTTAAATGAAACAAAAATATATTTATCAATATCTTCATACTAAAGAATTTAGAAAGATAATTAAATATCTTCGTTGAAARAATTTTACTAAGGATTAGTCAWTTCACAATCATTTTGTTTTTTAATTTTCACTGATTTATATTTACTAACTTTCACTAATTTCTCAAACATAGATATAACAAATTATTCTTTTAATAAGTTGAACAAAAATTAAAATCCCTAATTATAATCCATATAATAGAAAGTTATAATTAAGAGACGAAACATAATTATAAAATCGAGAAAAGTAGCACTTTATTTATGTCATAATCAATTGTGTTACCTCTATTTATGTCATGTAATACATTGAGCAACATGAAAATGGTTAACCAAATAAACTAATAAAATTTTATGGCTAATATTAAAACATTAATGTGTAAACTTCACTAACCTCCGACGATTCTGTGTCTTTTGCTTTCGATACGCCTTCATTCCCTTTTTTTTTTGGTTAAAGATCGTCATTCTTTTTTGGTGTGTTAATCTCAGCTCTGTTGCAATCATCAAATTTTCGCTTAGGTCTGCAAGGATGCAGAACCAAAAATTGATCTAACATATAAAACCAAATAAAATGTAAACATTTTAATTTGTTTGGAGCGTTTTTGTGGAATTATGAAGCGTTTTTTGTTCAATTTTTTTTAGTGGAATATGTCATGTATCTATGGAGAGAAATAGATTTATGAGATAGTTAGTTCAAGTCTGTAATTTTTTTTTATCAAGCGATTATCAAATTAAAACATATTTATTCATTGTTAAGTTATGAAATTACTAATATTAATCATAATATTGAAAAATATGCATTCTTATCCAGTTAATTAGTCATATAATGTGGCTTCAATACGTTATTATGTCTCTTTTTTCCACGTATAATTATGATTACACCTAATTGCTCGTTTGATATCTTGGTTTCAAACCACAAACCACTTGAGATTACACAACTTATATTATGTCATATTTTCAAATATCAAATTTGATATTTTCAATAGAAAAAGATACCTTCTTATGAATTTGAGGATTGCTCAAACTCTTTTAAACAAAAAAAAAAAACCTCTTAAACTACTCATTATGAAATTAGAAAAGGACTAAAGAGCCAATGAACGTACTAATCTAGTAATTGGTCAATGCACTCAGTGGAATCTTCTTGTTACGGATGCATCTCCGTTTTTCTGGAAAAAAGAGAGAAATATTTATTAGAATTATGAGTTTCTTAAAATTTTGAAAGTTAGATGATTTTTCACAATCGACAATAATACACAAGTAATAAAGAAATTAAAAAAATTAAGGTAATGCAACAAATTAAATTGTGTTATCAAAAAAGATTGGTGACTTCATATCATTTATTTTCTTTAATCCTTGGAATATAATAGCTTATCAAATTATGGATTAATGAAACTTGAATTTTGAAACCCTGTAATCGATTTAAGAAATCAAATTAGTTAAAA